AGTATATATGGTTAACCTTTTATCTGGTTAATTAATAATTTAGAGAATAAGAAATGTGCAAGATTAGTTAGAATATGTAGTTAACCTTTTCTCTTGTTAATTAATAACTTGGAGAATAAGAAACGTGTTTGATGAGGTTTTGAGCTTTTTGAAGATAGATGAAAATAGGAAAGTGAAGATTATGCTGTAAGGGTGTTCAAAACCGGATATTCAATCTGATTTGCTTGTTTTTTGATCCAACCTGCATTTTTGGATTAGGATTAAAATCGATCCAAATCTGATCTGGTTTGTGAGTATCAAATAGTCCAAAAAATCTAAAATCTAAATCTGTTTTTCTTGCCTTTTCAAGCAAACCAGTATAATAGTGCTCAAAATTAAATAAATTTTAAATCAAATCAAAATATGAATCTGAATCAAAATCTGAAATCTAAACCTTTAATCAAGATCTGAAATCTAAATCAAATGTCCCACAAATCTTTTCCTTCAATGCCAATTAATTAAAATCAAAACCTAAATCAAATCTCAACCCCCACCAAAAAATCAGGTTCATTGTCAACCCCAACACCCATATTCGAATCACCACCAATAAAATTCGAATCACCACCATAAACACGACCCACATGTTTCCATACCAAATACACTGCTAATTAAAAAAAAAAAAAACCCATAAAATATGGAAATAAAAAGGTCTTAAAAATTGGAAAAAAAAAAAAAAAAAAACCAGAACACAAACTAAATCCATTCTCCAAAAACCAAGAACACTGATTCTCCGAAAGCCAAGAGCAGGACAAAACCCAATAAACTCTTCTTGTCTGATTTCTTAGATCTGGAAAAAATGAAATGAGATTAAGTAAGAGGAAGAGTAAGAAGATAAGAAAAGGAAAAATAACAGAGAAAAGACATAGAAAGAGAAAAGAAAAGAGAGGGGAAGAGAAAAGAAAAAAATATTTGGGTTTTTAACTAGATCGGATCGAATATCCAGTTTTTCACAGACCCTAAACCGATATTCGATCTGGAAATTTGGATACTTCCAAATTGAAATCTAAATCCTAATTCGGATTTCTGGATGTCCGATTTTTTTGGATCGAATCAAATCATATAACGGATCCATATCGGATAGTAGATAACTTTGCACACCCCTATTATGCAGACCAATGACAAGATTAGTTAATAATATTGCAAGGGTGTCATTGTATGTATACATATACAAGTAAGATGTCCTATTTATACCTAAATAAGCTTCATTAATTACGTGACAAACCAATAAAAGAAAAAATAGTAATGTTTCACTAAGAGGTGTGCAAGATTAGTTAGAATATATTGTTAACCTTTTCTCTAGTTAATTAATATATAACTTAGAGAATAAGAAATGTGTTAAAAAAGTAGTTGAGATATATTACTTTGATCACTTAAAAGCTTGAAAATGAAAAACATATGACTCTTATATGAGTTTTCAGTCACAAACTACCTAGACCCCGTATATATGTATTTGAAGGCAACATTGGCCTTTCCTCACTTTTCATAAATATGTGGAAGTTAGCATTAAGATATTTTATGTATTATTAATGAACAATTACTTAAATCATAAGGGTTTTATTATCCGCTATGAGAGATTAGCTAATACTAAACGCATCCAAAGTTTGGGAAAGGATTATACTTTTATTTGTTTAACTTTTCCAACCTTATTCTATTCTACTATCATATCAAAAAGTGAAAAAAGTGTTTATTTTAATATTGACTATTCAATTCAAAATCCAATTTATTCTATTCAATTCAAAACATTAACGATTACCTTTCTCAATTAAGTTTTAAATTAACAAAAACTCCCATCCACCAAGCAACAGTCGCCACACAGCAACTGTTAGTGTATGCCTAGGAACCAATTGTGTCGTCGGTTCCAAGGCATTATATTTGTATATATATGTTAATGTATATATTTTGTATATACATTTTATCTATCAAAGAAAAAAAGTGTTCTTATTTCACATGTGGTTTTTGCTTCATTTATATATGTATTCCATATGAAATGTCTGGATGATACAAATCTTTAAAAGATCAAAATCATCAAAGCATTCCCTACATAGGTAATATTAGTGGCAATAATATTACTAGTAGGTATGCTGAATGCCTCCGTAGAATATCATGTGTAGTATTAGTGTGGGTGATTATAAAAGTTAATCACTAGGGCATTTGCATGGATAAGCGGTTAGTGAAATGTTTATCAACTATGGTGCATTTATGATGAATCAATAGACATTTAAAATATAGTCAATGATTTATCATAAGATCGTACTAGTGTATTATAATCCTTAGACCTAAGATATGTTGGTTGAATACATAACGCATATGGTTCATATGGTATATAAACAGAGGCTAATCATGTTATGTGTTAATAAGCTGATTTGGCTATGCGTTGTTTATGGTGAGGACAAGTGATAGTCAAGATGGGATCTATTGACTGGTATAGATTGATATCAAGTTTCTAGACAAATGTCAAGATACATTGGAAAAGGGAAATCTCCGGCCGAGGTATATAAAATTGAACGGTTGTTTCATGGTGACAAGTTCATATTTATGATTGTCAATTTGATATAAAATAAGATAAGGATTTTGACATACCGAATCAATTCTTAATTGGAATTGGAAACGGAATGATTATACAATGGTATGATTATAAAAGTGTTCGTTGGAGTATATATTTATGTGATTAGGGGTTATGGAGCATTGTTAGATGCTACCATAATGATGGGAGTTTTGTTCATAAAGATTTATGACAAACATATCGAAGTAGACTATGGATTGGGCCCACGACTAGGTCACAGTGAACAGAAGGTCACACACAAAAACTAAAGAGAATGGAGATGGAGAAATATCCAAAAAGAGTTTATTATCCAAGGTTGGCTAGCACCCACTAAGGGTAATAAAGTTATTTATATTATTATCATTGAATTAGATTCAATGGAGTGTTATATGGTTATTATGAATAATTTAAGAGTTAAATTGCTAATTGGTTAAATGGAATTCCAATCATATAATCATTTTCTTTATATAAATTGGATTAATAATGAGTTGTAATTGTAAACATATGAACAATTTAAGGGTTAAATTGTTATGTAAATAATTTAAGAGTAATATTAATTGTGATTTAATGTTAATCCATATTATTATAAAGAAGTTTAACAACTTCATAATAATTATGGAATTACTTACAACTCTAAAAACAATTATGGAACTGTTAAGGAAGTAAAAAATAATTATTGAATTGTTTACAAGGCTAAATATATAAAGAAAATGATATATCAATTTTAGGGTAGAGATCAAAATTTCTAAGAACCTAAATGTTCTCTTGCCTAATTCTTCTTACCTTAGTGTGGATACTTTTGTTTAATTTCTTTGAAATTAAAAGTCTTCACGGTTGCTAAGGACTTAAGGTAACAAGTTATACCTGTTTTCAGTTTGATTGATTGATTTTTTTTTTTTTTTTTTTTTTGCAAAATATGAATAACATGTTATAGTATCAACAGCATCATTCTCCATGTATTCCATCTTTCACAACCACCGCCAGCGCATCATTGGAATAAGCATGATCAACCAAATTTCTTGGCTGTCGTTGATGGTAGATTTCTAGCTATCGTTGACCATCAATGGTAGATTGGACACGACCGACCAAGTCTAGCCACTACAAGAAATATATTATATGTGACAAATAATTTGTCAATGTTATTTGTCATGAGTAATATAGTTATTATGACAAAAAAAGAAACATCACATTAAGTATAACAAAGAGGATATATAGTGACTAAAAAAAATATTGTCATAATATTTTATCACAATAAAGAAACCCTAATAAATGTAGTGAAGAAAAACATTTTATTATAATATTTCGTCACAAATTTTTGGCTACAAATTTTGGTGCCTAGGTAAAATGTTTATTATGACAAACATATTGTTATAAAACTTTTAGTCACTATATTTAGTTATACAAGCTATAACACAAATTATTTTGTCACAAAAAATTATTTATTATTAAAAAAATTGTCATAATATGTTGAAAATGAGGTATTAATGACAAAATGTTTGAGTCAAGATTTAAGCGCTGAAATAAAGTTTATGTGACAAATATATTTGTCATCAAAAACTTTAGTCACTATATTTAGTAATACATATTAAATCACAAACAATTTATCATAAAAGAATTATTATCATTACAAAAAAAAAAAAATTATCATTTGTATTTATCGAGTCAAGGATTGCATTTAGAAGTTTTCATCTCCAAACGATGATCTTTTTAGTAATGTTATTTGGGCCCATTACAAGTCTTTCTAAATATTGGCAATTAAAGTTGATGTGTGGCCTTTATGGGCCTGATCAAAACATAAGAGAATTTCGATATTTCATCTCTAGTAGCCACATACATTGTGTTTAATGACATACATCTAAATATTGACAATTAAAGTTTTGTTTTTTCAATTACAAGATATGAGTTCTTTATTTGTTTTCTACTTATTAGTATTTTATAACTTCAAATATGATAAAGTCTCCTTATTCTTCTTCGACATTCTTTACAGCATCTATAATGATTAAAAAATTGTAGCTCTACTTCTTCAAGAAAACATCTAGATATGAGATTTTAATTTTTTTTTATTACTTAAAATTATTTTATATTTAATATATTTGGAGACACGTATAATATAATTAATTTTTTTCATATAATTGGGTAAGTTTTTTAGGTGATAAGGTATTTGTGGAATAAAATTTTAAAACCAATCAAAATACCCAAATTTGAGGTATTTTATAAACTTCTTAAAAATACACTACATTAGTTTTGTAGGGTTTTTTTAGCCTATCAAAACCCATATATAAAAAAAAAAAAAAATGAGAAGGAATAGATTTAGAATACCTGATAACTAATCTAATTAAAAACCCTTCGAAACCACTCAAAACCAGGAAAAAAAAAAAAAAAAACCTCCGAATTAGACCATTGGAGAGCGAGGAAGAGAAGAAGGGTTTTTGTTGAGGAGCCTTCCCATTTCCCCTTTAACCTTTCTTTTTTTCGCATCAACCCTCGCAATTTTCCCCATTTTCTTTCTTTATTCCTTTTGCTCTAATTTTGATCTCGTCCTCGTGGCCACCACTGGAAACAAAAACATCAATGCCAGATTGGTTAGCTTTTCGTAATTTTGACTTGTTTCACTTCTTTATTTTGGTTGATTCTTAGATGGGTCTGGGTCTGGGTCAATTGTTTGGCATTTTGTTTTGATGATTTTTTTGTGGTTTTTTAGGCGAACTTTGATGTGGGTTTATTATAATTTTTCAGAATTATGATCGGAATTCTGCATGTTTTGATGTGGGTTTAATTTATAAATTGGTATTGATTGTTTGTGCTTAATTTTGATGGAAAATTCTGATGTGGGTTTGCTTTGAAATTTAATTTTGATTCAGCAAAATTCATATAACAATTATGTTAATTGCTAATCATAAAGCTTATTTTATCATTTATCTTTTTAGTTTGTATATGGTGATGGTGTTGTTATGAGTTTTCATGTTTAATTAAATGTTTGATAACATGATGGCTACTAATATTGAATGGATTTTAGGGCAAGTTACATTTTGGCTTTGTTTCATTTGCAAAATAATTCATGTGGGTTTGCTTCAAAAAGTAGTATTGCTTCCTTGTGCTGAATTATGATGTAAAATTGTGATGTGGTCTTGATTTGGAATTGTGTTTCATTCATTAGTTGCTGGTGCTAGTGTTGTTTAGAACTTTGATGTTTAATTGTATGTTTTACCATGTTTTGATGTATTCTTTGTATTTATTTTTCAGAAATTTGGTTTTGATTGATGTTTGTTTGTGCTTTATGCTTTAGGTGTTGCTTAGAGATGTTGGAGTTGGAAAGTCTAGTCTGTGTTGCGCTCTGTTAAAGAGCAATTTGTTGAATTTCAGGTATTTTGGACGACTTATAATTGCCAGTGAACCTTCCCCTTTTGGTTTCAAGAGTTTGATTTTTTTATATAATTTTTGTAGGAATCGACTATAGGCACTGCCTTTTTCTCACAAACATTGGCTGCAAATGATGCCACAGTAAAGTTTGAGTTTGGGATATAACAGATCAAGAGAGGTACCATAGCTTGGCACCAATGTACTACAAAGGAGCTTCTGCTGCCATTGTTGTCTATGATATAACAAATCAGACAAGAGTCTGCCAATGAATTTATTTCCCATTAAGATATGGAATCTTCGAACTGCTCATTGTTAAAAATTTAAGGTATAAGACCTATAGAAAAGAGCTTTGTAATCCTTGAGACTTGAGGAGTTGAGTCTCGGGGATTAAGCCTCTTTCCTCCCGTCTAACTTGGTTAAAAGGAACTAGATATGAGAGATGAAATACAGAGCTATGTACCTCTATTTTATGATTCAAGGTGGTGATCCTACTGGTACTGGAAAAGGAGGTGAATTTATATTGGGAAAGCCCTTCAATGATGAAGTGAACTCCAAGTTGCTTCACTCTGGAAGGGTTGTTGTTAGTATGGCAAACAGTGGTCCACACACAAATGGTTCCCAGTTTTTCATTTTGTATAAATCTGCAAATCATTTAAACTTCAAACATACAATTTTTGGAGGAGTTGTTGGTGGTTTGACTACATTGGTAGTGATAGAGAATGTTCCTGTTGATGACAATGATCGACCTCTGGTGAGTTCTTTGTTTAGCATTAATCTCTCCAAAACTACATATATTTTAAACCTGTATCCAATTTTTACTGCTTTCTGTTTTACAATTAAATGGTATTCCCTGATTAATGATAGATGTAGTGTGTATTTAGCATATGATCTTTTTGGGAAGCAAGACTTTATGTTTATATTAGTCCTCTATGCCTTTTGAATTTTGGTGAATGCTGTGTTAGGAATCAGTATATTATTTGGTAACATATGTTATCTGGAAGGTTGAGCATCAAATTGGCTTCAACTTAATTCAAAAGCTGCATATCTAGAAATACAAAGCTCATGATTTATCAAAAGCTGCATATCTAGAAATACAAAGTTCATGATTTATATGAAGATACTTTAGTATGTTCTAATCAAATTAGTTGCTGGACTCTGCCTTGATCATAAAATTAGTTGACTTAAATTAACTTATTCAACCCTGACCTCATTATATGTTGTTTTCCTCTCATTTGTGTAGGAGGAGATTAAGATAACTAGCGTAACATTATTTGTCAATCCTTGCTCAGAACCAAATGAAGAAGAGGAAGAAAAGACCAAAGAAGAGGAAAATGATGGGGATGAAGATAAAGTTCGTTTCAGGACTCTTGTAAATATCAGATGCCCTTAGAAATCGTCATTATTGAGATGACAAAAAAATTTTGTCTAGCCTATATTATTTTGACAATAAAAAATTTGTCATGTAAAAATATTTGTATTAAAAATTATTTGTCATGCTATTAAATATTTTAAAAAATTATTTCTATCACTATACAATTTTTGACAAAAAATATTTTCATATAAACAAGCATGTGACAAAATAAATGTTGTCACAATAAAGTCAATGACAAATAAATTTGTGTCACTATTAAATTATGAGAAAATAATTTAGTTACTACTCACAATTTTGACAAAATCAATTTTGTCATAATATATTATTTTCTCACTGTAAAGTTTATCATTTGGTTTTTAAATGTACATCAATTATGACAAAATATTACTTGTAGTGATAAAAATTGTCTTCTACTGTTATCAATAATTATCACAATAAATTAGATTAAAGTGACAAATTACTATTGTCATAATAAATAATTAGGCTATGGTAACTAAGCGTTTTTTCGTCACCATACACTTAAGAGTACGAGCTTAATGTGACCAACCTGGTGATCAGTAGAATTCCTCACATTAGCGAAATGGTAATAATTTTGATATTTATAGTGACAAATTATTTTGTCGTAAGAAGCCTAGATTCTTGTAGTGAGCTAGTCGTGTCCCATTCCGACGACTTTTGGCCACTGTTCGACAATGGTGGCTAGTTGTTGGCAATCAGTTAGGTGGGTGGAGGTGTTTTTGTTAATTTATAAAATTTTATTGTGGGAGTGTTTAGTTAAATTAACAAATATAGAGATTTAAAATAATCCAAATATTTTCAGAAAATATTTTCAAAAAATGTACCAAACACATTCTCATAATCATATCTTATTTGATTAAATCCTATTCAGAATATAATACTATTTTAAAAACTTAAACAAACGGAGCCTATATTTTTACGATTATGCGCTTTAAAAAGTTTAATTTTTCTTAACAATAATTAAATATGTGGGTGTCTTTATGACTTTTTGAAACCTATGTGTGTAATAGTACTTATATCAAACCTTACTAGTGAATAGGAAATTTCTCCAATTTCAATGGTTTTGTACTTGTGAAGAGTGAAATAATAATAATAAGAAAATAACTTGGTTTAAAAAAATTACAAGTTTTTACATAAATACAAAATAATCTATTGAGAATTGACTTCTATTTGAATCTATGTAATTTAAGTTTATGCCACCCACATTACAAGCTACTGCCTAGTGCCTACTTGTCAAACGTAGTACGTAAACTAATTCAAATTGTGTGATTCTAAATGGTTGAATAACAGTCCCACCCTCAAGGTTTACTGAAATGATGATTTCCCCCGTTTCCTCAAATCTTTTACTAAACAAATAATTAAGGAATGTTTTTGGAGTTTACCTTTTTAATGTTGAAGAAACATAAGTTCGGTATATTATGTTAATTTGCAGAAAACTTCAAGCTTGAAGTTTATTATACTTGGAGTTGGAGACATAACATACTCAATTACTACTTACACTAGATCCCATAATTCCAACTTACGACATATTTTACAATAATTCTTTCTACTGTATTTTTACAATGTTGATTCATGATTCTGACACCAATGACTCACACGTGCAAAGTACTAAGCTGTTCTTAGAAATTACACGTAAATAATTGGGATAATCGAATGCAAAGACTAAATAATAAATGAGAGATAGTTTTTCAAGTGGTTCAGATGCTTAAAGCGAATCTTACGTATACTATTTCTTTTATATATGAGAGATTACAAAAGGTTGCATATAGCGAACAACGCGCAAAGGTACAATAACTTAATATTTAGAGAGAATATCAAGTTGGTCTCTTTCTCCTGGATTGTCTTTGCTCTGGAAATAAAGATTACAATCAGAATGAGAGTTCAAGATTAGAATCCCGAAAATGAGAGGGGGAGTCCTCTATTTATAGTAAAGGAATTCAAGGTAATGATTACAAATATGCAAGTGGGTAGGTGCCGTGTAAGTCCTTCCTTGTCTCCCATTGGCTGATAACTTAGGAAATATCCTCATGGGGCTTAGACAAGTATGTGGCCCTCTATCACTCATAGACAAAACCTGAATCTGCCAAGTTGATGACAACCATATTCTTCTTGTCATGGAGCAACATTATAGCTCATGGACCACGCAAAGCCATCTCAATCTTTGATTGGTGCTTGCTAACGTAGGTTAACGTCAACCCTGATTTTTTAGGCCTAACAAAAGCTCCCCAGTTCTTAAGGTTCAAAGATTGAGTCTTGAGAACTTCATGATTATGCCAGAACTTCATGATTATGTCGCAACTTGACTTGTCTCGAGAAGCATTTGCCTAAACTAATAGTTGCGATTAGCCACATTATTACAAACGATGCGAGACAATAGACTTAGAAATGTTTACTTTGTTATTTGATGCTATAACATCTAATTGAGTGGAACCAAAATTAAAATTAGTGGTGGGTTTTACTTATTTCCTTTACTCTGTTATGGCAAAAAAGAAAATGAAAAGCTGGTAGTTTAAACTAGTACTCCTGCTTCCTTGGCTACAAATGTCCTAGAAGTCAAAATTAAAAGAAAGATATGGTTCCTTGAGATACCAGCTCTTGTGTATATTCATCGATATAGGGGATTACAAGATTTTTAATTATAACAAAAATATCAGCATGGATAAGTAAATCAATTTTAAATATTTGAATCACTAACTAAGTGCATAACAAAAAATCTAGCTAAATGAGCTAACAGAACATATCATGATCAGCTAGGTAACCGGAAGAGATCCTGAAGGTAAATCTGGTGTAACAACTTCCACAGCTTTCTTAGGATAAAGATCTCTAACATCCCCCTTCAAGGTGATAGGGAGGTCACGAAGCATCAGCTTGTCCTCAAGAAGTAGAAATCGAGATGAAGTCAGCCCCTTGGTAAAGATATCAGATGGATGGGCAACAATGGAGATATATTTGGCTTGGATATCTTCATTAAAAATCTTCTCACGAATGAAGTGGTAATCCACCTCGATGTGTTTAGTACGAGCATGGAAGACGGGATTAGAAGAGAGCGCTAAAACACCAACATTATCCACCCACAAACAAGGTGGAGCCGTAAGTGGTATGTGAAGTTCTTTCAACAGCATCCTAATCCAGTAAAGTTCAGCCACAGATCGGTATTCAGCTTCAATGTTTGACCTGGCTACAACTGGTTGTTTCTTTGCTGACAAGGACCAAGATATATGCAATAGCCAGAGGTAGACTTTCTATCATCTGGAGAACCTGCCCAATCCGAGTCACAAAATCCATTGAGGTGAAGTAACCCTTTGCTGAATTTGAGTCCAACGTTTAAGGTACCCTTGATATACCTCAACACTCTTTTAGCAGCTGTTAAATGTTCAGTGGTTTGACAGTGGAGAAATTGGCAAAGTTGATTAACACTGAATGAGAGATCGGGTCTAGTAAGTGTGAGGTATTGCAAGGCTCCCACTATAGTCCTGCATTCAATAGGATTAGTGAGTGGATCCCCTGAAAATTTTAAGAGTTTAGCTCCTGAGGTGCAAGGGGTAGGAGTTGGTTTAGCTCCAGCCATTTTTGTGAGATGCAAGAGGTCAATAGCATATTTGCTTTGGCTGAGATAGAGCCCGTCTGATGTATGTTGAACCTGAATGCCTAAAAAATAAGATAGAGATCCAAGATCTTTGATAGCAAAGTCAGCTCCAAGTAGAGTGATGAGGTGATCAATAGATGAAAGAGAGTTACTTGTAACTATGATAGCATCAACATAAATGAGGACAAACATAGATATGTTGTTGTGGTGAAATGTAAAGAGGGATGTGTCCACATTTGAGCCACTAAATCCAAGAGCAAGTAGTGCTTGAGAAAGTCTCAAGAACCAAGCTCTAAGAGCTTGTTTGAGTCCGTAGATGGACTTGTGTAGTCTGCACATATAATCAGATAAGTGAGGATCCTCAAACCCTTTAGGCTGCTCCATATATACCTCTTCTTCAAGAAAGCCATGCAAAAATGCATTAGAAATATTGTGAGACCATGGGCTATCCCTCAACTACCTTGCCCTTGGTTTTTTTCTTTATGTGTGCTTTTTGAATTTCCTTTTAGTTTTTTTTTTCTTTTTCTTTTCCTTTGAATTTTGCATTGTGGTTGTTGGTGGAACCTTTGGTGCACTTGTTGATGAATGTTTGATAGATAGTCGTATCAACCAATTTTAGTACCCTTGGATTCAAAAATAGAAAGTACGGAGGATGTATGATAACCTTTATTCCATGCACAACCATCTAGCTTCTAGGATTCCTATCATTGGGCAGCCGCCTAGAAATGGTGGCATTTATAAGTTTTCTCCTTTGGACAATATAGACTCCAAGTTGGAGTCTTTAGCCTATCAATTTGACACTTTCATATCCATACAAGGGCAAGCTTCTAGCCAACCACTTCCCAGCAGGATAAGTCAGGATGTTTTTCTATGCCTTCAGACCTTTTAGCTTTTGAGTACACATTTGAGGAACTATCTCCCTACACTTTTGAGGAGCAAGTGCAAGATGTACAAGGTTTCCAAAGATGGAATAATCCGTATTCGAGAACATTGGATAGTGAGTGGCATAACCATCCCAATTTTACATGGAAGCAGGAACAATCTCAGAATGTCTCCCATAATATGCCATAAAGTTTTCCAATCAACAGGGCAATTATTGGGACATGTATTCGGTCCAACCACCCGCCCAACCTAGGATCCCACCACCTGTCCAGCAGCCCACTCTAGAGCCCGGTTTACTAGAATCAATGATGGCTCAAATGCTCCAGACCATGCAAGAACAAAAAGATGATATAAACGCTAGGTTCAATGACTTACAGCAACATTATCAGTTATTACATTCTCATTCCCAATCTATTAGTAAGCTAGAGACCCAAATTGGTCGAATAGCTGAAGCAGTTTATAAGAGAGAGAAAGGTCACATGCTAAGTCAAGTTGTAGATAATCCCAATGGTGCACCTCACCAAATGGGTTGACATGAACAAGCTAGGCTTGAGAGGAAATTTTAT